GCTCAAATCATGCCAACAACCACAGTCCCAAGATTGATTGGATTATTGCCTTGCTAAAAAAAAAATCTTATGAGAGGGAACTTAAGGAAATTTTCACGTTATTCGCGCTTATTCAAACGGGGCGCTTATTCGCGCGAGTACGGTATAGACATGCTGCAGGGTCCTTTTTGTGTCAAAGGTCAAAAATGTCATTTCCGGTCAGTTTTAGAAAAAATGTTGCATTAGTGCAAATAGATATATATGTTCCAAACAAATTGAGGCTAAACTTAGGTCTCTACGACCAACGGTTATGGAGATTTAAGTATCCTACAGACAATTAAGAATTGTAAAGCGCCTAGAGGGAACTGTGATCTGTTAGGCGCTATATAAGTACGGTATTATTATTATTAATATCCTACAGGGTACCTAAGGTCAAAATTTATAAACTTCATTTCCTGTCACTTTATGACATGATGTTGCATAATAGGAACATGCATGTTCTGAAACATTTCAGGCCAAAATTAGGTCTCTGTGGCCAACTGTTTTTTGAGATATGGATGATGCTGGATATCTAGGGTCAAAGGTCAGAAATGCATTTCTGGTCACTTTTGGGCAATATTTTACATTAGAGCAAATAGAAACATGCATCTTCTGAACATTTTGAAGCCGAAACTAGGTCTCTATGACTAACAGTTTTGGAGATATGGATATGCTGGTTCATGTAGTCTCAACGGTCAAAAATGCCATTTCCGATCACTTTTGGACAAAATGCTACATTAGAACAAAAAGCAACATGTATGTTCTCAACAATTTGAGACCAAAACTAAGTCTGTACGATTTTCCATTGCCAAGATATATCGATCCCGTCTTTTAGAGGCGGTCCTTTTAAATTCAATATGGCGGCCATAGCAGGCGTCAAACTTGGCACACAATTTTTTTTTAATTCACACATATTAAAGATATTTTGTGCCAAGTTTTATGCTTTGGTAATAAAGTGCACTACTTGGCCCTTAGCTGCCCTACTAAAATGCGCAACTTGGTGCTTTAGGCTGCTCTACTATAGCAGATAATTAGGGTCTTTCAATATTCTAAGGATTTAAGTGCTTAGGAAAATTTTTACATTTGCGGTTGACATGTTATGACATTTGAGGTAAAAATAGAAATTTTTACATTTGTAGGTGAAATGTTACTACATTTGTGGTTAAGCAGATTTTTACATTTGTGGGCGATTTGGGGTTATTTTGACATTTGCGGGTAGAATGTTTTGACATTTGTGGTTATTTTTACATTTGTGGTACATTTTTACATTTACGTGGGCTCTACATGGTGAAGGTGATATTTTAATGGACTGAATGCCATATGCACTATTACTATTAATTTTTGTGTTTTCATTGTACGTTTTGGCTAACGTATTTTTGACGAATTTGGCTTTTCTTACTTCCCGCCAAAAAAAAAGCATTGGAGAGCGGAAATCTATATTCTTTGGGAAAAACCCAGATCTGTAGACATCTACAATAATTAACATATAGCAAATGACAGTCTGGAAAACGCATTCGTAAACTTTACTTCAGTTTACTCTGTTACACATTTTGTTGATTAGAGCAATTATAGTACTGCTAATGATTATTCACTCTTCCCGAAATAGTTAACCAACCAACGAGATCTGAAAGATGTATAAATATAAATTATTAGAGCATCTGGGCAGCGGTGCGTTTGGTGAAGTACACAAGGCAGTAGAATTCTCTACAAACAAGATAGTTGCCATAAAGAAAGTTGGCCTATGCCTAGATTGTTCTGCGGTGACCGAGATCATGACTCTTCAAATCAGCGGCGCACATAACAATGTTGTTCAGTACATAGAATACTTCACTGATCAATATGGTATGTACATTGTCTTGGAATATTGCCATTTTGGCTCTATAGACAATTTCTTGAAACACAACCCAAGTCTTGATAAGAATATGCGTATGGGATTCTTAAAAGACGTGTCGAATGGCCTAGCGCATATTCATGGCGTCAACATCGTACATCGAGATTTAAAGCCTGCCAACATTTTGATCGACATTCGACTTGTTGCTAAAATAGCTGATTTTGGATTCGCTAAGTTTTTGAATTCATTTGATACTACGACAACAGTGGAGAAGTACATGAAGACAGTGCTTGGCACCTATCCGTACATGGCGCCAGAAGTACTACAAGGACATTACGATGCCAATGCAGACATTTTCAGCATGGGAATTATATTTTGTAGTATTTTAGATGACAACTTAAAAGAACAGATCGAGAAAGAGCGGATTGGTGAGAAGATGTGTATTGTACAAAACTACAACTACAATGTACCACCAACTATTGGACCATTTATGGAAAGTCTTGTCACTAGAATGCTGCAGAAGGATTACCATCAAAGACCTACTGCTCGAGACATCAGCCAAAAGTTAATGCAGCATGTTGCATGTCTTTGTGGGTGCCATATGGGTTTGCAGCCCGTATGTGGGTGGATTTTTAAACCAGCCATTAGCCAGGCTATGCAATCCCTGTACAATAATGCATATATGGCCATGAGCATCCTAGCTAGCATGCGACGTTGACCCGACGTTGGTTGAAGGTCGAACGATTACGTTGGCACAACGTAATTACACCTACGTTGGCTGAACGTTCGGTTTTCCTTCGGCCCAACGTGGATTTTACTTGTTGGGAAGACGTCGGCCCGATCAGTTGGATCGACGTTGGCCCGATAATGTTTCTGTAACGTCCTCAAACCATGTTGGCCCAACGTACCTGATGTTGCCTAGACGTTTGCTTTTCCAACGTTGATTCAGCCAGTTAGAAAGACGTTGGTCCAACTAGTTGGATGAACGTTGGGCCGATATGTTTGTGCAACGTCATCAAACTACGTTGGGCCAACATATTTTTCTGATGTTGCCTAGACGTTTGCTTTTCCATCGGGCCAACTTAATTTAGTATTCATAATGTTATTTAATTTTTATACTGCTATTCTTGATATCATGTAGGCCTATTGTATTAACATTTCCCTATTTGCTGATTGAATTATTTAAATATTAAGCCAATTTGCATTACTTTGCTTACTATTTCTGCATGCTATTATATTGATGTTATTGTTATCTTTACTGTTGTTGTTGTTGTTGTTGTTATTATTATTATTATTGCTAATTTACTTAATTTCATCATTATCGACATGATTATTTTATTATTATTATTATTATTATTATCATTATTATTATTATTTATTCTTGTATTGGACTATTATTGTATTATTGCTGTTGCTGATTTTTTCATTGTGTTACTATCAATTTTCTCAGTTATTGTGGTTGCATTATTGTTATCTGTTAATATGGTATGATGGTGGTGGTGGTGATGATGATGATAATAATTGTCGATATTGTTTTTATTATCATTGTTGTTGTTAATCGTTATTATTTTTATTGCTTTTGTTGTTGTTAATTACTATTGTTTTTATTATTAATTAATGATGCTGCTTTTTATTGTTATTATAATTTTTTACATTCCAATCCGATTCGTGGTATCATTGTTGCCTTTTTTACTGTGCATTATATATTTTTTTATTATATTACTTATTAATTTTATTTCTTTGGTTAACATATTTTACTCCTGCCATCTTGATATCATATGTCTCTAATGATCGGTATGGTATACCATATTCACGGTAAATACTGCTTTCATGCAATTTTTGATCCCTTTTTTGAGCTTTTTTAAGCATTCTTGGTACCTTCTTTTTAAAATATTTTCTCCCTTTTTTTGTGGTTTCTTTTTTTTTTTTTTGTTACTTTCTGTTGTCATGTCCGATTTTAATTGTAGTTCTTGTAGCAGCACCTCGAATTCCGACCGATTATCAAACATATGTTTTTCTCCCTTTCTTAAAGCCACTGATAATTTTAACTCAAATATCGACCCTGATTCCCAATTTTTTTCCAATACTCAAAGCATTTCTCAATATTATAAACCTGACGAGCTTCCTAGTAATAATTTTACTGACAGTTTTTCCATTATCCATTTTAATATTAGAAGCATTTTCAAAAATTTCGATCAAATGAAACAGCTTCTAACCTCAATTAATTTACCCTTTGATATTATCGGAGTTAGTGAAACGTGGCTCAAATATGACAACCCACTCGTCCAGCTTCCTAATTATTATTTTGTGTCCAATCATAGAATCCACAAAGACGGTGGTGGAGTAGCCATGTATATTCGTGATAGTCTACAATTTTCTAGACGAAATCTAACTCTTCATCCCTCCATCTCCGAATCTATTTTTATTGAAATTGTAAGACCTCACTTAAAAAACATTGTCATTGGCACAGTGTATAGACCACCCTCTTCTGACCCTTTTAAATTTACTAGTGAACTTGACCACGTCCTCTCCAAATTATCACGAGAAAATAAAATTGTTTACATTCTCGGTGACTTTAATATTGACATCCTTAAACATAATTCCAATAACGATGCCCGCTTGTTTGTTAATTCACTTTTTAGTAACCATTATCTTCCCTGTATCCATAGACCATCTTGTATCACAAAACCTACCACTACCTTGCTTGACAATATTATTACTAACCTGTTTGAGTACCCCAATTTAAGTGGATTAATTTACAGCGATATAACGGATCATCTCCCTGTTTTTAATATATCCCACTTCTCCAATGTTGCAACTAGCTCAAGTAAGGATGAATATGTATCTAGTTTTAAGAAAATTAATCCAACTACTTTAGAAAATTTCCGTGTAGATGTGTCTTCGCAACAATGGCTCGATGTCATTAATACACAGGACCCTGTTGCAGCCTATACCAATTTTGAAAATTCACTGAAATCCCTTTCCAATTTTGAAAATTCATTGAAATCCCTTTACGATAAACATTTTCCTCCTCAAAAACACAAAAAGAAAAACAATAAACTCAAATCGTGGATGTCAGACGGTTTACTAAAATCGATTAAATATAAACAAAAATTATATGCTAAATTTCTGCACTGCCCGTCTGCCGCTAACGAAAAAAATTACAAACAATTCCGTAATAAATTAAATTTAGACAGTGGACTCACATGGAAAGCTCACATAAGTGAAGTTGAGAGTAAAATTTCCAAAAGCCTTGGCATCTAGACTCTCTTCCTTTATTCCCTGTAATGTTCTTCGTATTCTCTACTGCTCTCTCATTCTTCCTTACTTGAACTACTGCAACATTGTTTGGGACAATACATATCCATCTAACATCAACAAACTTCAAATTCTTCAAAAAAAAAAAAAAGGCTATCAGGATCATATCTGGCTCTCCCCTACAATCTTATTCTTCCCATCTGTTTTCCAGTCTAAATTTTCTAAAATTAAACGATATTAATTTAATCCAGCAAAGTATATTTGTATACTCTGCCATGCATTCGATCCTTCCCAAGCATTTAAGTAACATGTTTATGTCTAATTCCTCTTTTCACAATTATTATACGCGTTCTAGAACTGATATTCACATCCCTTATCACAACACAAACTATTTCCAACATAACATTAGATATACGGGCCCCTCTATTTGGAACAATCTACCATTCTCAATTACCAATGCTGTTTCTGCCAGAGCCTTTTCTAATAAACTGAAAAAAACACTTAATCTCAAATTATTAAACTTTCTGAGGCTGAAATTCCTCGTGCTGTTTTGTTTTGAGCTGCTTTCTCTTTTTTTAAATTTTTTTATTTATTTATTCATTTATTTTATTTATTTTTTATTTTTTTATTTTTTTAAGGCCTGCCCATCACAAGATGTTTGTTTTTGCAAACAACTTCTCGGGACCTGGCCTTCTTCCAATTTTTGTATTTTGTTTTTCTAAGTGCATTTGGAAGAAAATAGATGTTTTGTTGAATTGAATTGAATTGAACGTCGGGCCGATAATGTTTATGCAACGTCATAAAACCACGTTGGCAGGCCACGGATATTTGATGAATTATGGCGAATTTTTATTACTTATTTGATAGGCATCGAGTTACTATAATATGACTTCATGTAGGCTATGCTTTCTAATGTTGACATCAGCTTCCAAAACCAAAACATTTTGAATAAAGC